CATCTGAGATCGGCTCGATTTGAGAAAGGGGAAAACATTTAACCAGATAAAAAAAAAAACACTGGGTGGATTTTTATCATTATAGGGTGGTTGTGTACACACACTGCCAACACACATTTCAGTTCCAACAACTTGTAAAAGTGCATGTAGCATCCTATGACCCCTTTAAGTAACATTTGTCCATGCAAAACTCACTGCCACAATATGGGTTCAATATTTTGGTTTGGGGTTTGTTCAAATCATGACACTGAAGTGCTGCTTGACATATTTAATGACTTGTATTAAGACAGTATCAGTTCAGCGCGGCTGTGAGACAGACAAACGCCGTAACTCACTTGAGGCATTCACACGTGACGAGCAGATGAGACTCGGTCATCCTGAAGATGTTGTGAATGGCTCGGGCTGCCAGGATCTGTCTCATGGTCTCATAGATGACGTCTGCGCTCTCTGTGGCCTTCACCTCCATGGAGCCCAAGAACCGAACGATGAAAAGCTGGTGCAGAATCGAGTCTGAAACGACACGAGAGACTCGGTCTGACTTCACACCAACATGAAATCAACATGCATTTTCTCAATAAAAGTCATATTGTGCACGCATCAAAAACTGATTTTATAATCTTGCATCAGAATGCAATAACTTGTGTAAATACTCATGTAGAAAAAAGGAAAAATAATATTAATTAATCATATCATAGCCTGCTTTGGACAATTAATAAAATCAGATGAATATAAATCAAGTCCCGGCCTACAATATGTCCCAGAATATTCTATTTCTCCAGAAAATACATGACATTATGTAAATTAAATGCATTGCAAATTGCATTTCATGTGCAATTTAAGCTATTAAAGAAATAGCACACACATAAATTTAAATTCAGTCGTTTTATAATTTTTTTGAACTCATGTTCTAATTATATATATTTCTAATTTTGGCTTTTTAAACTCTTTTTGAAAGTAGTCTCTTCTGCTCTTATTTATTTGATTAAAAATACAGGAAAAACAGTAAAATTGTGAAATAATATTACAAATTAAAATAACTGTTTTCTATGTGAATATATTGTAAAATGTAATTTATTTCTGTGATCAAAGCTGAATTTTCAGCATCATTACTCCAGTCTTCAGTGTCACATGATCCTTCAGAAATCATTCTAATATGCTGATTTGCTGCTCAAGAAACATTTCTGATTATTATCAATGTTAAAGGCAGTTGTGCTGCTTCATATTTTTGAGGAAACCCTGATAAATGTTATTTTTCAGGATTCACAGATGAATAGAAAGTTCAAAAGAGCAGCATTTATTTGAAATAGAAATCTTTTGTAACATTATAAATGTCTTTACTGTCACTTCTGATTCATTTAATGTGTCTTTGCTGTATAAGAGTATTAATTTCTTTCAAAACAAAATCTTACCGACCCTGACATATTTTCATAAACGTACCTTCACTTTCTTCAGATTTTGACCCTCCAGATTCCCCAAATGGATTGGTCCTTCTTTCAGCAAAGGGAAAAACACAAACCAGAGCTTAGTAATTCCCTAATAACAATCAACAGTAAATTGTCCTCTTTTTCTAATAATTTTGAAGCATTCATAAACATAAACCAGAGATTTGAGCACAGACCTGCCCTGAGCTCCGCTCTTAGTCTGACTCGTGTGCTCCTCGCTGACGGGTGAGATGATGTCAAACTGAATGGGCGTGTCCGGAGCCACCAGCGAATCCAGAGACAGAGACGACAGCGCCGGAGACTCGGAGCCCGCAGAGCACTGACTGCCTGAACGGCCAGTTTTGGGTCGACCTTGCCTTCAGGGGCAAAAAACACCAATGCATTTATAAAGAAAACATGGAATAATTTAAAATCACATCTCTCTGATGAGGGAATGGATGCTCTGCAGTGAATGGGTGCCGTCAGAATGAGAGTCCAAACAGCTGATAAAAACATCACAATAATCCACAAGTAATCCACACCACACCAGTCCATCAGTTAATGTCTGGAGAAGAGAAAAGCTGAAACAAACCCATTATTAAGGTGTTTTAACATTAAACCATTGCTTCTGGCTAAAATATGAGTCCGTAATCTATAATAACGCTTCCTCCAGTGAAAAAGTCCATCTCCTGTTGTCTCTCACATCAAAATCCAGTTTAGAACGGTTTTTGCTTGTAAACTGTGCAGATTTCTCTCCTGATTCAGACCAGACCACTTTTTCACTGGAGGAAGCGTTATTATGGATTATGGACTATAGACATTTTAATGATGGATTTGTTTCTTACAAACACACAGCTTTTGGCCTCACAAGACATTAACCGATGGACTAGAGTGGTGTGGATTACTTGTGGATTATTGTGATGTTTTTATCAGCTGTTTGGACTCTCATTCTGACGGCACCCATTCACTGCAGAGCATCCATTGATGAGCAAGTGATGCAATGCTACATTTCTCCAAATCTGATGAAGAAACAAACTCATCTACATCTTGTATGATCTGGTGGTGAGGATATTTTCAGCTAATTTTCATTTTTGGGTGAACTATTCCTTTAAGTGCTGTTGCGCTGACACTCACGTGCTCGGTCTGAAACTCTCGTGCCGCTGTTGGAAGGATGGTGAAGGTGTTACAGCCTCCAGAGCCGACTGATTCACTCTCGCTGCGATTTCCTGCCGCCGCGAGAAACATTAGCAATAACTGACTTTAAAATGCATTAAAGTTATTTTATCATGTTTGCAGAGGTTTAGGGTTTCATGCATGACAGTAAGAGTTCATCTGAATTCCACACTCACCTCTGGGTTTTCACTGAGGTATATCCTCTTAGAGATGTTGTTTATTGTCGCAATCCACTAAAATAAAAACCATGTAAAATATTTCTGATTGGTGAATCTGATGAAGCCCATCAAAAGCATGTTTAAAGTCATACTTCCTCCCAAAATCGAAAGAAACTAATTTTGCATAGAAATAATAATAAAAATACTTTTAGCACCATTAAGATATTTCATATTATGACATTACATGCATGACAATAATGCTTATTTTCCCCACAATTTTCATTACTGTAATGAATAATTGAATAAATATTATTTGTCCTTCTACTGCCTTTATTTATGCTGATTGTAATTTTAAAGAAACAGGTAACAATTACAGTAATGAGAATATAATGAGAATTACAAATAAACTCAGAAATAAAATGAGAATTGAGAGAAAATATTAGTGAATATACATTAAAAGTTTAGTGAATATATATTCAAAAGTTTAGATTCGGTAAAGGTTTTTTTTGTTTTTGTAAGAAGTCTCTTCTGCTCACCAAAACTGCATTTATATGATCAAACATACAATAATATTGTCAGATACTACAATTTAAAATAGTTTTCTGTAGTAATATATGTTAAAATGTAATTTATTTTTGTGATCAAAGCTGAATTTTCAGCATCATTACATGCATCCTTGCTGAATAAAAGTATTAATTTCTTTAAAAAAAAATTTTTTTTTTTGCTGACTCAAAATTTTTGAACAGTAATGTAATTATACAGGATTCTTTGATGAATAGAAAGTTCAAAAGATCAGCATTTATTTGAAATAGAATCTTTTGTAACATTATAAATGTCTTTACTGTCTCTTTTGATCAATTTAATGCATCCTTGCTGAATAAAAGTATTAATTTCTTTAAAAAAAACTTTTTTTTTTTGCTGACTCAAAATTTTTGAACAGTAATGTAATTATAACTTCTTTGATTTTGTCATGAAATCAACACAATCTCCTCACCTCCTCACAGTCTTTCCTGCTCTCCGCCTGTAATATGACTGCCCTGCGGTACACAGAGAAACAGTCATTCAGTGAAAGCAGTGACTCAGAATGACTCAATATCTGGCAGACATACTGAGAAAGGATAAGACAGTCGTTCACCCGCCTGATAAACATTCAACTGAGTTTAAACTGGATCAGCACCTGGGAATTCACTGGCAGCACTTTAGCACTACAGTGTTCACATTTCTTATCACTAAACTAATACCAGAAGAACAGGAAAAGTAACCAAACCATTTTGGGGATTTTAGATTCCCACCCTCATCACCAGATCATCCGAGATGTAGATGAGTTTGTTTCTTCATCAGATTTGGAGAAATGTAGCATTACATCACTTGCTCAGCAATGGATCCTCTGCAGTGGATGGGTGCCGTCAGAATGAGAGTCCAAACAGCTGATAAAAACATCACAATAATCCACAAGTAATCCACACCACTCCAGTCCATCAGTTAATGTCTTGAGAAGCGAAAAGCTGTGTGTTTGTAAGAAACAAATCCAGCATTAAGACGTTTTTAACTTTAAACCATCGCTTCCGGCTAAAATACGAGTCCATAATCCATAATAACGCTTCCTCCAGTGAAAAAGTCCATCACCTGTTGTCTCTCGCATCAAAATCCAGCCACATATTTGTTTAGAGCTGTTTTGGACTGTTTTAGCTTGTAAACAGTGCTTGATCTGTGCAGATTTCTCTCCTGATTCAGAGAACGTGACTTTTTCACTGCGTTATTATGGATTATGGACAGTTTAAAGTAAAATCGTCTTAATGATGGATTCGTTTCTTAGAAACACGCAGCTTTTGTCTTCTCAAGACATTAATTGATGGACTGGAGTTGTGTGGATTACTTGTGGATTATTGTGATGTTTTTATCAGCTGTTTGGACTCTCATTCTGACGGCACCCATTCACTGCAGAGCATCCACTGCTGAGACACTGATGCAATGCTACATTTCTCCAAATCTGATGAAGAAACAAACTCATCTACATCTCGGATGACCTGAGAGTGAGTACATTACCAGCAATTTTTTATAATAAGTCAAAAGCATTTGCAAACAGCATTTCAGTAACCACAGAGGTTAAATGACTGCAGTAATACTGTAATAACTACTAGTAGAAGAATATGCAATAGTCAGAACTGTACAGGACAGATTTGTGCACTGAAAATCTTACTTCTTGCCATCAAACGATGTGATCTGAAAGCAGAAGCGTCGGTCATCACAGTCCACAGCCATGACGGAGCAGTTGTCGATGTCCATAACGAGACCTCCGGCTACGTCTCCACGCGACTGGCTCATGAGGTTTCCTCCCTGCGTGAAGAAATACTGACGTTCCCAAGCAGATGACACCAGACCCGTTTTACTGGCGGGGAGAAGCATGAGATCATTAGAAATGCAGACGACTGAAGCACAGACTGTGGACTCGTGGCTGATGTTGTCGTACTAGCGAGTGTTGAGGTAGCCAGCCTTGCGGGTCAGGTTGCGGTTCACAGGGATCTTGTTGGGGTCTGGGTCAGGCATGTAGAGTGGGTCACTGGCCGCTTTCAGGTCTTGAATCGTCTGCTCCGTCGCTTCAGCGTCGCTGTCCATTTCCCTGCGAACACTACGAGCACAAAGAGAACAAAGTAATGACATTTTGGAGTAATCCATTAATTATTCTTCTCATTTGAAATAAAACACATGAAAAACACACCACATTTATTTATTGTACTGTCTTGTTAAATTAATAACTGAAATGTGCTTTCATGCAAATATCATGCAAAGAATATTTTATTAACAAGTGCACATAAAAAAGAAAGTTAAACATTACTTAAACAGGACCGATAGTGTGCAATACTTTACATATTGTAAAAAATATAAGATACATATAAGATACATATAAGATACTGCTTAAAGGTTTGGTTTTTAATGTTTTTAAAAGAAGTCTCTTCTGCTCACCAAGGCTGCATTTATTTGACCAAAAACAGTAATATAAAAAAAATATGATTACAATTTAAAATAACAGTTTTCTATGTGAATATATTTCACATGATCTTCAGAAATCATTCTAATATGCAGATTTGCTGCTCAAGAAAACATTTAAAAAGTAAATGTCTTTACTGTAAATTTTGATCAATTTAATGTGTCCTTGTTGAATAAAAGTATTAATTTCTTTAATTTCCCGAAACATTTGAACAGTACTGTAAAACTATATAAAAATGATTCTGGCAGATAGGGATCATCATTATTGACTCATAATTATCTTTATGTAATGCAACTGATATGATGACATATTAAATCTGTACTGTTGTGCATTTCTCCACTGTTAACATTGAAATCAGGTTAAAAATAAATAAATAAATAGTTAACTGTTTATTAACTACCCTAACCAATAAAGTTTGAATAAGAAAAATAAGCTCTGATATCATCTGTATTGAAATATGTCACTGATAATTAAAGGCACAATATGTAATTTTCGCCACTAGTGGGCGCGTATTCAAAATAAACAAATAGACAGAGGCGTAGTTTGATGACGCTGTGACTTGAGTGTGGAATCATGGGAGTTGTGGTCTTCATCCCCACAGCCGATGCAATCCGACGGGAATCGAGCAGAAATCATGTTCATGGATGAGCTAATGATTTATTAAGTTTTCTACAAAACAAAACCGGAAATTGAGGGGTTATGACGTCATTGGCAGGCGACACAATGACACTATGGACACGGTCCGTGTCACTAGTTAAAATTGCTTATTTCTCTGGATTTAAACATTCTTCGAAACATTTGGGATAATGTAAGTACACAAGTCAGCAAAATATATAACACTGTTCTAGTGGTTTTTGGATATTTTAATAAAAAAATCTTACATATTGTGCCTTTAACCAAACTAATCAGGCCAATACTGGTATGTGCACCAATATATTGTAAAACCTACTTAAATCAATACTTATAACACAACTAACATATCATAAAATTATAAAGTCCTATAAATGTATTGTGATCCATTATTTATATTTGCACCTTTCATTTTTATTTTAGTTTAAGTTTTAGTAATTTTATGTCTTTTTGTAATTTTATATATTTTTTTATATTTCTATTCAGCTTAATATTTATATTTTATTTATTATTCTGCTATATTATAAATATAATTTATTTATTTTTTCTGTTTTAGTTTTAGTGTTTTAGTAAACAGATTTAATATTTTGAATTAGTTTTTATATTTGCACCTTTCATTTTTATTTTAGTTTAGGTTTTAGTAATTCAACTAACATATCATAAAATTATAAAGTCCTATAAATGTATTGTGATCCATTACGTCAGATGCATTAGTCAAGTCTTTGGTTATTTTAGCATTATTTATATACTATTATTTTATTTAATATTTTGAATTAGTTTTTATATTTGCACGTTTCATTTTTATTTTAGTTTAAGTTTTAGTAATTTTATAATTTTTTTTTATATTTCTATTCAGCTTAGTATTTATATTTTATTTATTAATCTGCTATATAATAAATATAATTTATATATTTTTTCTGTTTTAGTTTGAGTGTTTTAGTAAACAGTTCCGGCTAAAAATGTTTTCACATTTAAATTTATGTCTAACACTAATCTTTATTTCAGTTAACAAAATCTATTTTTTAAGTGTTAACAACAATAACACTGGCTGAGACTCACTTCTGCACGCTGGTTCCAATGTTGGTGAGAAACTCCTCCCACTGCTGCGTCAGATTCTCTGATCCCAGTTTGAAAAAACTGATCTGATGATAAGCAAACAATCTATTATCAGATGGCGTTGTGAATGGATAATGAGGGCTATAGTTCATGTTTGACAGCTGTATGAACACCTGCGCCTGCATGTATCCCAGCAGCGGCTCCAACAGCGCGATCTTCTTCTTGTACTGCAGCATGTTGAGCGATGCAAAGTAGTGCATTATGGTCTCGTGCTGTTTTTTCCTGGACGTGTAGACGTCCTCCATCACTTCATTCTTCACCTGCAGTGAACGCATGCATGACAGCAGTTAAATGCAGGGCGGGACATGATTTTAACAATTGGGAATTGACTGGATGGTGAAAAGTGCCTCTATAGACTGTGAATAGAGCAAAGATTACAGGAATACGTTTTACAGAGTAACAGATGCTCATCTATCGGCGGTCAGGCCAACTCTCAGTGTGTGCGTGATTAAATGAGCACATTAAAACACACGCTTTCAGCAATAAAAACACACACACACACACACACGTTACGCTCTGTACGTGTCAATATGAGGACGGGCGGAGCGGAATGCAAACCAACCAGCTGTCAATCATAAAACACTGTGAATTCTCAAAATACCACACCTTCTCATTCTCCTTTCGTTTAGACAGACGACTGTATCTGTTGACGGCTGTGTCGTGATCTGAAATCAAATGTTGAACATAATGAGGGCAAAAAGAAATGGTTACATTATCAAATTATGTAGCAATTATGCAGAAAAAAATAAAGTGCTTACCATCACTTGAAATCTGAAACACTTCCTTCAGGATGACAATCTCTAGAGACAATTAGAGGAGGAAAATGAATGTGTTATGTAAGAGATAATGCACAGTTATTATTAGAGTTAACTAAAATAAATCTAAAATTGCTAAAAAATATATCATTTTCATTACTTGAAATAAAATAAACATTAACCGAAATAAAATATCAAAGTATTAAAATATATTATAAAGAAAATTCAGCTAGTTGCCAAGGCAACACTACTTCTTTTATTTAGTTTAACTTGATATAATAAAATAACTAAACTAAAAGTAAAATTAAAACTGTAGACATATTAAAAAAACTACCAGAAAAAGACCAAAAACAACAACTAAATCTTTAACTAAAATTAGAATGAAAATTTAAAATACTAAAATAAAAAGTGTTTCAAAATAATAATAAAAACTTTTATTTAAATTCAGTATCTTGATGATACTAAAATCACACTGTTTTACACAGGTGCTTAACAAATACATTATTAAATGGGCATGAAGCATTAATATATAGGTAAATTACGTTTTTATTTGAAAAGCATGAGAGACATTAACTGAAATAAAATAAAATATATATACATAAAAAATCAGCCAGTTGCCAAGGCGACATCTCATTTTAATTTAGTTTAACTTGATGTACTAAAATAACTCAAACTTTATTAATAAAACTATATAGATGTATAAAAAACTACTAAAAACAAAGTCAAAAAACAATAAAATTAAATAAAACTAAGTAAAATTAAAATGGAAAATATACAAATAGTGATTCAAAATACTAATAAAAACTATAATAGTGTCTCAGTGATTCCATAATAGCACTGAATTACACAGCTGCTTAACAAATAAATTACTAAATGAGCATGAAACATTAATATATAGGCAAATTACTTTATATGTGAGAAGAATGAGAAACATAAAATATTATATTAAAGGGGTCCTATTATGCTCTTTTACAATGTCTTGAATTTGTTTTGGGGGTGTAATAGAACATGCTCTCATGCTCTCAACGCATTATTTTTCACATAATTTACATTATTACAACACCTTTCTACCTATCCTGGCACAAACGGCTTGATTAGTTCCGGGTTTGATGAAGGCAACTGGAAAGAAATTAAAGATCCATCTTTGATTGTCAAAATAATTCCAGGTTCAGTTCACTCAGCCAATTAGATTTCACCTAGTATTTTCATCGGTCAGTTGTGGAGGTCTGATTGGTTAAAGCTTTATTTATATAGCGCCTTTTAAAACAGTGTATACAAAGTAGCCTACTTTACAAAGAGATGCATATGTGCATTTGCAGAAAAGATCAAAATACAAACATAAAAGAGATATAGTAAAACAAAGTAGCTACAATAACCAGTTTATGTTAAAACAAAAATACAACAATAAAAAATCAAGGAAAGGCCCTGCACAAATCTGCTTTGAGACTACTTTTTTAAAGTGCATAATGATATTGGTGGATATTCAATGATATATGAATGATGGGAAGTCGTGGTTAGAGAGTCGAACTCGTAACCCAAAGGTTGCGGGTTCGAGTCTCGTACCGGCAGGGATTGTAGGTGGGGGGAGTGAATGTACAGCGCTCTCTCGCACCTTCAATACCACGACTGAGGTGCCCTTGAGCAAGGCACCGACCCCCCAACTGCTCCCCGGGCGCCGCAGCATAAATGGCTGCCCACTGCTCCGGGTGTGTGTTCACGGTGTGTGTGTGTTCACTGCTGTGTGTGTGTGCACTTTGGATGGGATAAATGCAGAGCACTAATTCCGAGTATGGGTCACCATACTTGGCCACATGTCACGTCACTTTCACATTTAAAAATAACTTTTGACAACGTTTAATTCAGGTGCGAAAAAAATGTATATCTATAGTGCATGAGCACAGAGATTTGAGAGTGCACAGGACACAGTTTGAGTGAGAGGAGAGGCACGTTTTAAGTGCGCACACTCTCTCCGGGCGAGAGCTGCGTGTATCTGAGCTCGCGCGACAGGTTTTGTGCGAGAGCAAAAGAAATCCGCGCGCGAGCGGAGAGATTCGCGCTCATGCATTATATTAATGTGCTTTCGCGCTACAATAATCCGCTCTCGACATTTGTCATTAAAATAACGCCATACCCAACCATTTGAATTTATAATGGGCCACTTTGTGATATCACAAAACCCGGAAAACCAACGCTGTAGTCCAAACGAGCCGTTCGTTGTAGTTCTTGAAAAGGGATTTTTTTTAAACGAAATATCTCCCTTTGGAGTGGACTTTGAGATTTGTAAGTTTGAAGATCTTTTTTATGCCCAAACATACACACTACACACTGACTAAAATTCAAAAAGTGAAAAAGCATAATAGGACCCCTTTAAAAGAACTAAAACTTAGTTAATAAAACTATATAGACATTTTTAAAAAATACTACAAAAAGCCCAAAAAATTACTAAAACTAACTGAAATTAAAATGAAACTGGAAAAAGGGGATTCAAAATATTAATAAAAAATATAATAGTATCTCAGTGATGCTAAAATAACATTATATTACACAGCTACTTAACAAATAAATGACTAAATGGTCATGAAATATATGAAAAGAATGAGACATGAAATAGCACAGATTACACATCTATAAATGGTCGCCTTTGTAGAACAATCAATTAAGCTGCTTAGAGTCATTATAAAACAAATATTTGCCAACAGAGTAGTAGACCAATCAGAATGAAGCATTCTAGAAAGCTCTACCCCATAATGCACTGCTGTCTCCTACCTCTCAGGTCTCTCTCCTGAAACTGTGTGATGGGGAACATCATGGCGTCTGCGAGCTGAGTGGAGAGAACGGCGTGACACGAGCTGAGCTGAAAGAAAACACACAGAATCACACACACACACACACACACACACTCCCACAGGACCTTCGTTACATTACGAGTTCTGACCTCGTCAATGACTTTGGCAAACTGCTGCAAAGTGGAGCTCATGACCTCATCATCACCGCCCAGAGGAAAACGCTGCACAGCAGAGAAAGATACTGAACTATGACTGGGAACGGACAGAGAACTTAAGAAAGATGAGGCATTATGTATAAAAGCATCGAAAGGCAGAAATCACCTGTTTCTCGTAGTCTTTCAGTAATCTAGACGTCAGATGTGTGGCAGCACTCAGTTCATTCTGAAAGCAGAAGCACATGAGTCTCATCAAAAATAATAAAAATCATATTTTACTCCAAAGTCATAAGAGAAAAAAATATTATGCATGAAAAAAATGAAGCTTAGGAATATTTATTCATAATTTTATATGATTTTATTATTTAATATTATGAATGTTTATTTGTATTTATTTATTATTGTTGTTGTTGCCAATATAAACATTTTAAAATATCAATAATTTATCATATTATTGTATCTCGTATAATATAATGAATATTTATTCTTATTATTATTAATATACTGATATTATCATTGATAATAATTTTTTAATAATATCAATAATATACAATAGTGTTATTATATCTCGTATAATATAATGAATATTTATTATTACTTTTAATTATTATCATTATTAATATTGATATGATTATTGACAATAATAATAATTGAGTAATATCAATACTATACAATAGAATTATTATATCTCAATTAATATGAATATTTATTATTATTACTATTTTAATAATAATAATTATTATATTAATAATATATAAAACTAATGTCATATCTTGTAATATAATGAATATGTATTATTATTATTATTTTAATTATTATTAACAACAACAATAATAATAATATATTTTGAAAAATATATTATTAATATATATTGCAAGAAAAAAAACATGGTCCTTAAAATAGCTTTAATTTTCCTTATCCAAAATATGACTTCTACTGTCTATCTTTTGGTTTTGGTGTGCAATATGATCAAGGCAAGATCTTGACAGGTTGTGTGTGATTCATCCATTAAGACTAAAGTTACAATCACTATTATAATGTGACAATTGAGCATATATCATATGCCATGTTCTCACCTGGGCATCGTAGATTCTCTGCATGGCTTTGAAGAGCTGACTGAAATAACTGGATGTGGCTGCTGTATCTTCCTCGAACACACCGAGCAGAGAGCGAGTCTGAAACACACCAGCAATATCCCAGATAGATGTCTGTTAAAGATCGCTTCATCTGGAAAGCATCTGCTGTGTACAAACATCTGATAGACGTCTCGAAGATGTCAGTTTTGCATTCATTCTAAATCATAAACATCTTAAAGACATCTTCTAAATGTCTATTTGACATCTGATAGGAAACGTCCAATAGCTTCAGAAATTAAGTCTGGGGTCTTGTTTTACATGCATCCACTTTTTGTTAAAGAACAACACGTTTTCTGATAGTAATAGCATATTGTGTCTAAACAGAGAACCAGACGTATTTTAAACATCTTAAAGACATCTTCTAAATGTCTATTTTTGCAGATGAGCAAACACTCTAAAAAATACGTCTTGCAGATGTAAATGCAGACGTCAAATAGAGTCTCTGTGATGTACGTGTGCCATCAGGGATGAGAACCAGCCCTGATAGCACACATACATCTCGGAGACGTCTATTTGATGTCTGCATTTACATCTGCAAGACGTATTTTTTAGAGTGTTTGCTCATCTGCAATATATGTCAAATAGATGTCTTTAAGATGTTTATGATTTAGAATGCATGTAAAACTGACATCTGAAAGACGTCTGTCAGATGTTTGTCCACAGCAGATGCTTTCCAGATCAAGAGATCTTTAACAGACATCTTGCAGACGTACATGTGCTATCTGGGGATGTATTTTTTAGAGTGTTTGCTCATCTGCAATACATCTATAGGACGTATTTCCTATCAGATGTCAAATAGACGTTTAGAAGATGTCTTTAAGATGTTTAAAATACATCTGGTTCTCTGTTTAGACACAACTTCAATATGGTATAACTATTAGAAAATGTGTTGTTCATTAACAAAAAGTGGATGCATGTAAAACAAGACCCCAAACTTAATTTCTGAAGCTCTGTTATGACATTTCAGACACTAAAACTGCTTTCACAGCAGAGTGATGCAGAATCTTACAAGTGTGAACACGTCCATTCACTCTGACTGATGAAGACTGAGGAGTTTCCATCTGATCTCTAATTATTACAGCATTGATCATGTAAGTAAAGACTCTCGCTGTAGTCTTCTTATATATTTGTGACATGATTTCAGAATCATCTGTGTTTTCTAATAACTGATCATTGCCAAATCTAATCCACTGGTTCTCTGTTTAGACACAACTTCAATATGGTATAACTATTAGAAAATGTGTTGTTCATTAACAAAAAGTGGATGCATGTAAAACAAGACCCCAAACTTAATTTCTGATGCAGAATCTTACTATACAAGTGTGAACACGTCCATTCACTCTGACTGATGAAGACTGAGGAGTTTCCATCTGATCTCTAATTATTACAGCATTGATCATGTAAGTAAAGACTCTCGCTGTAGTCTTCTTATATTTATATATTTGTGACATGATTTCAGAATCATCTGTGTTTTCTAATAACTGATCATCACCCCCACCACCCATCAAAAGCTAAAGAGCTAAGATTAAACGCGAATCAGTCGGATCAAAGCATCAGGATGAACAGACACACGGTCTGCTTTACAGCGAGAGCAGCAGATGTTTATTATGATCAATGTTTGTTTATTTATTTCTGTTAGCTTGCTGGCTAAACGCTGCTGATTTACCTGCGGACTGTCCTCCAGAGTTTCCTCTAGCGGTAATTTATCGATTCCCGGCATGACTGCAGATTTACCGCGAGCGCAACGAACTGTTTACTTTATTATTCAGAGACAAAAGTCACAATGTTATAATGTTAATCTTCGCTTTATTCCTGACAAATCAACACCCACCCGGATCCGCCCACAAACGCGGAAGTCCCGCCTCCTCCCGCCCGCTGATTGGCGGAGGCGCTGTGGCTACTATGATGACGTCCGCGCTTGTTTATAAGAAATAAAAGCCATCCGTGGCTCTCTGATGGTTTATAATATTATTATTTTAGAGAAATATTTAATCCATGAATGTATTTTTTCCTAATCACTCATACTTTTTATAATATTTATAAATTCATTAATAAACCTTTCAGAAGTATGGCAGGCTGATAGCTGTTAGTTGTTTGTCAAATGTTGTATTAAAATAAAATAAAATAAAAAAAGTGTGGCTCTTATAAAAATTACATGAAATGTTAGTTTGGAAATGTGTGGGGAAAATTAAATAATGTTGAGTATGTGATGTTAATATGGGTTAAATATTATTAAAATAACAATTTCAATTAATATTATTTTATTAGTGAAATATTTCATTCATGGATGTATTTTTTCAGAATCACTGAATATTATTAAAATATTATAATATTTATAAATTCATTTAAAAAACCTTTCAGAAGTATGGCAGGCTGATGATAGCTGTTCGTTAAAATAAAATAAAATAAAATAAAATAAAATAAAATTTTAAAAAGTGTGAATGTGTGGCTCTTATAAAAATTACATGAAATGTTAGTGTGGAAACGTGGAAAAAAATAAATAGTGTTGATTATGAGTTGTTAATATGGGTTAAATATTATCAAAATAACAATTTCATGAGGAAATCTGTTAAATAATTTCTTATTTATTTATTTATTTATTTTTTAAATAACATGCATAAAACCTTTAGCATCCTAAAAGTTATTTCTATATAGATAAAAAGCTTTTTTACACAGATGTGCTTCCTTAAAAAAGACCACTTTTCTTCATAAACAAATGCATTAATGACTATATTTTCTTAAAACAAATATTTATTTATTTGAACAAATTATTGAGTTCTATACCTATGGTTCAATACATATTTGCTAGCGTTCGTTAACATTAAGACTTTGCTCATATTTCATATGAACTGTATTTAAAGAATATGCACAATAAGTCTATTATGGAGTGTCCATTACACTTGTGCTGAGCTGTAATTGTGTGTTTCTACAGGTGTATGCTCTGCTTCAATAGAGGAAGCATAGAGATCATATTCTTTGTAAAGGATGCATTGCTTCAGCCGGTCTGGCAATGGAAGGAAACTCATGAAGATCGGAGCTCTCAAACGCAACCGACCCAAACAAGTCCTGATCTTCAGCCGACAGAGATGCTGCAAACAGCAGACGTTCTCTGTCCAGAAACAAAACGTCAAATATGAAGCATGACATGAGCAGAGAAAAAGCAGTTTCACACCAAAGTTCATATATTTTGCACAAGGGTGTGGGTTTGATTTTGGCATCGGTGGGAACATAACAGCAGACAACAGACATTTAATTGTTTGGTCAAAATTATTCTCTACTAAATAAGTCTTTCTTAGTTTCTACTAAACTCTACACCCTTGAAAAATCATAACAAGTGATGATGTCTGACTTTAGAAACTATAGTTCTCTCCTTAAATATGAAGAGGTCAAACAACAGATTAATGAGTTACTCCAAATTTCACTAAAAGCTTATGGAAGTAATTATAAAATAAGTCTGACGTTGAAGAGAGCTGCTGTTTTGGTCTCTTCTGAAGAAGATTCATTCACTATTTATTAAGTCTACAGTATACTGTTCTGCACATTTTATTTTATTCTTATTTCTTTTTAAATCTTTTTTTTCCATACATATATTTATATATATTTTTCTTGTGTTTGTATTCTTTAATAATTGCACTGTCCATGGAGCGGACCTGACTTACATTTCACTGCTGGTCATATATTCTCTATATAACCATGTATGTGACAAATAAAAATCTTGAATCTTGAATCTTGAATCTTGAAATTTACAATGTATACAAATACAATAACATGTAAACAATTCACAGCAATTACTATTATTATTAATAATATCAATATTATATTATAGAGAGGGTCAAGTCAACAAATAGGTCAAATAGAATTAGAATAGTGAGTGCTAGAGTTAGAGGGTCAAATAAAGATTTTTGAACAAACCTTGAATTTTGCAGATTTCAGGCCACTGCTTCTGCTCCATGAGCGCAGCCTTCAGTTTGGAGCAAAAGGTCACATGATCGATCGACGTAATCCAGCACGATGCAGTCGTAGAACTAACTTCACGTGTCCATGATACTAACAATACATTTAAAATTAATTGGTTAAAAAGATGTTTGCTTGGGTCAGATTCTATGTGGTATTTTATTCCTAATAATATATTTAATAGGGTAGGTGGCCTTTCTTTTTTGATGAAATGCAATTACTCCACTGGTAAATTACCTATTAAACTGGCTAGATTTCATCAACAAGCTTTGTTAGCCTGGAAACTGGTTTACAACCACAACTTTTCCCCCCACAAAACCATCTTATGGAATAATTTGGATATTAAAATTAGAAATAGATCAGTCTTTTTTGATAAATGGTTTAATAAAAACATAATTT